AGGAGATCGTCTTCCATGACCTCAACCTCACAGCGCACGGCATCTCCCACTGCCCCACCTGTCGGGACCGGCCCTGCCAGGTGACCCCACAGCCCATACACCACCTGGCCTCCGCCCCCTGCTGTGGCTGGAGCCTGTGGGAAAGTTGGGGGGCGAGGGGTGCTGATTGTCTCAGCTTTACTTCTGGGGGCTGCTTTGCAGAATGGCGGTCAGTGCCACGACTCCGAAAGCAGCAGCTACGTGTGTGTCTGCCCAGCTGGCTTTACCGGGAGTCGCTGTGAGCACTCGCAGGCCCTGCACTGCCATCCAGGTACGCACCCACCACCGAGAGTCCCTGTCACCCCAAGTGCCTGCCTCTTCCCGTTGCTGCCTCTCCATATCCACCGCCATCTCAACGGGGTGGCACTTCCATACCCCCTCTCTACCTGAGCACTCACCACTCCTCCCACGCACCCATCCCCATCTCTGCTTCCCAGTGGCCCTCACCCCATCGCTGCTGCTTCCCCTCCTCCATCCCTGCTGACCAGATTCTTACCACTATCCTCCCCCATCCTAGGCCCATCTCTTTTTCTTTCTTTCTTTTTCATTTGAGACGAAGTTTCACTCTTGTTGCCCAAGCTGGAGTGCAGTGGCATGATCTCGGCTCACTGCAACCTCCGCCTCCCAGGTTTAAGTGATTCTCCTGCCTCAGCCTCTTGAGTAGCTGGAATTACAGGTGTCCACCACCACCCACGGCTAATTTTTTGTATTTTTAGTAAAGATGAGGTTTCACTGTGTTGGCCAGGCTAGTCTTGAACTCCTGACCTCAGGTGATCCACCCGCCTCAGCCTCCCAAAGTGCTGGGATTACAGGCGTGAGCCACCACGCCCGGCCCCCAGTCCCATCTTATTATCCAGGTACCCACCCCATTACTGCCACCAGGTGTCCCCCCGCGGCCCTGACACTTATCCAGGTCTACCCTCTGAAGAACCTGCAGACACAGAGTCCCTCGACTGCTTCCCCTGCGGTCCTCCCCTCGGCCTCTTCTGGCTCCCACCTTGCTCTGCTCTGCTCCCTCCTCTGAGGCCTCGCAGGCAGCTCAAGGCCTCCCAGAAGGCTGGCCTGGCCCTCACTAGCTGAGCCCCCCAGGGTGTGATGGGCAGGGCTTTGGCGTCAGGGCCCCACTCCCTCCACAGTCACCTCAATGTCCTCCTCACTGGCCTGTGTGCCCCCCAGAGGCCTGTGGGCCCGACGCCACCTGTGTGAACCGGCCTGACGGTCGAGGCTACACCTGCCGCTGCCACCTGGGCCGCTCAGGGTTGCGGTGTGAGGAAGGTGAGTGGAGCCAGGCCTGAGACCTCTCAGGGTCCCAGTGTCAGCCGAGGAGGCTGGGTGGGGCACTCTGAGGCCATGATGGGCCGTATGGATGATAAAACGATTCCCAAGCCAGAGGGTCTGGAAGCCACCTGGCCACATGTCTGCCCAGCCTGAATCCCTTAGTGAGCGCAGGCCCCAAAGAGGACCCCAGTCCTATCAGAGCTCCTCTCAGCCTCATCTGAAAGGGCGGAGGGCCCTTGGGCTGCTACAGTTGGTGTCAGCTGGTCCTGAGACTCTGGACCTGGAGAGTGAGGCGGGCAGGGGTCCCAGAGAGAGAAAAGTAGAGTCACTGGACCCCATTGGAGGGCCCAGGCTCCCCGTTGCCTCGGCTGAGCTGTGGCTGCTGCAGGTGTGACAGTGACCACCCCCTCGATGTCGGGCACCGGCTCCTACCTGGCGCTGCCCGCCCTCACCAACACACACCACGAGCTACGCCTGGACGTGGAGTTCAAGCCACTCGCTCCTGACGGGGTCCTGCTGTTCAGCGGGGGAAAGAGCGGGCCTGTGGAGGACTTCGTGTCCCTGGCAATGGTGGGAGGTCACCTGGAGTTCCGCTATGAGTTGGGTTCAGGTAAGCACCCGGCACCAAATGCAGGCCTCTGCACACCAAGCTTTGTGCCCCCCTCAGCTCTCCCAGCCCCAGGGAGGCATGGGGAAGAAATGCAGGGGTCATCTTGTCTCTGTGTGTGACTTGAGGCAAATCCCTGGGCCTCTCTGAGCGTCGGGCTCCTCATCTGGAATACAGCAAGCTATAGGGCATTCTCCGTCTACTCAGGGCCCTGTTTGTGGTGGAGAGGGCAGGGAGCTCTGTGTGCCCCCAGGTGCCCAACCCTATCCGACATCCTCCCCAGGGCTGGCTGTTCTGCAGAGCACCGAGCCACTGGCCCTGGGCCGCTGGCACCGCGTGTCTGCAGAGCGCCTCAACAAGGACGGCAGCCTTCGGGTGAATGGTGGACGCCCCGTGCTGCGGTCCTCACCCGGGAAGAGCCAGGGCCTCAACCTGCACACCCTGCTCTACCTGGGGGGCGTGGAGCCTTCTGTGCCACTGTCCCCAGCCACCAACGTGAGCGCTCACTTCCGAGGCTGTGTGGGCGAGGTAAGAGCAGCCTCCAAGGGACAAGCGGAGGGGAGGGGTGCACCCCGGGCCCCTCCACCTGTGGCTATCCCTGGACCCTGGGCTGGCTGCACCTCTGAGTCTCAGTTTCCTCCTCTGTAAAATGGGCATGATCACGCCTACTTTGAAGGGTTGGGCTGAGGCTCGTCTGCACAGATGAATGTTTCTGGCACCAACGCCTTTGCCTCCCGCCCACACCTAGAATCCGTGCTGCCCACCATGGGCTCTGAGCTGCCCGGCTGCATTCTTCTCCCTGCCGGTATACCTGGGCCTCTGCCTCCACGCCCCTTCAGTCTCTCGGTGTCCCTGTGCCCACAGGTGTCAGTGAATGGCAAAAGACTGGATCCTCACCTACAGTTTCGTGGGCAGTCAGGGCATCGGGCAATGCTACGACAGCTCCCCATGTGAGCGCCAGCCATGCCAGCACGGTGCCACGTGCATGCCTGCTGGGGAGTATGAGTTCCAGTGCCTGTGTCGAGATGGATTCAAAGGTGGGAACAAGCCTGTCCAGGGCACCAGAGGGGGGTGGGCACGGGCGTTCAGCGACACCTGCAGCAAACGCCCACCCACCCACTCACCTCTGCCCTGGCCCGCAGGAGACTTGTGTGAGCACGAGGAGAACCCCTGCCAGCTCCACGAGCCCTGTCTGCATGGGGGCACCTGCCAGGGCACCCGCTGCCTCTGCCTCCCTGGCTTCTCTGGCCCACGCTGCCAACAAGGTACCCAGGCCTGGCTTCTCTCCACTGCACCTCAGTCGTCCTGGGGCCCCGGGGCTCAACATAGTACCCACGGGTGTCTCTGCCCACCAACTGGACCCTGCCCTTCTCCACAGGCTCTGGACATGGCATAGCAGAGTCTGACTGGCATCTTGAAGGCAGCGGGGGCAGTGGTGAGTACTTGCCATGGCCTCCCTTCAGCTTCAGCCTCAGCTCGCCCTTCCAGTTACCCCACACCCTCGATTCTGGCCTATAAGCAAAGCAGGCTTCTATGAGGAGCTTGCTGGGCACAAAGAGACAGAATGAGGAAGCGCTCAGCCACACGGAGCTGGGGCCTGCCCCATACTCACTGGCTAGGTGATGATGGGTAGGCCTTTGAAACCACTCTGACCTCGGTTTCTTCCTCTGTATTTGCGTATTCGGTCAACAAATATCTATTGTGTGCCCATCCTTGCCTTGGGAGCAGTAAATATAAGATGGATAACGGCCGGGCGAGGTGGCTCACACCTGTAATCCCAGCACTTTAGGAGGCCAAGGCAGGTGGATCACCTGAGGTCAGGAATTCGAGACCAGCCTGGCCAACGTGGTGAAACCCCATCTCTACTAAAATCCAAATAATCAGCTGGATGTGGTAGCAGACGCCTGTAGTCCCAGCTACTTGGGAGGCCGAGGCAGTAGAATCACTAGAACCCAGAAGGCGGAGGTTGCAGTGAGCCCAGATTGTGCCACTGCACTCCAGCCTGAGTGACAGGAAAAAAATAGATGCATAAAGCAAGACCCTCATTCCCAAGAATTCCACCGTCTGCTGAAAAGCAAAGCACACAGTCAAGAGTGAACGCTGATTGAATGTTTCCGGGCGCTGTCTAACCTTTTACAGACACATCTCTTCTTACATATCATTAACATAATAGGCCAGGCAGTGGTATCATGGTTAAGAGTATAGACTTGGTGGCCGGGTGCAGTGGCTCACACCTGTAATCCCAGCACTTTGGGAGACCGAGGCAGGTGTCTCATGCCTGTAATCCCAGCACTTGGGGAAGCCAAGGTGGATGGATTACCTGAGATCAGGAGTTCAAGACCAGCCTGGTCAACAAAGTGAAACTCCATCTCTACTAAAAATACAAAAACTAGCCAGGTGTGGTGGTGCGCACCAGCCACTCAGGAGGCTGAGGCAGAATTGCTTGAACCTGGGAGGCAGAAGTTACAGTGAACCGAGATTGTACCACTTCACTCCAGCCTGGCCACAGAGCAAGACTCCATCTCAATAAAAAATAATAAAAATTAAAAATTTCTATATATAATCTTCATTCATGAAGTTGTTGTAAGGATTGAGTTAAATGCGATGGTGTCTGTGGCTGGATGGGACGCTCCCCGCATAGGCACATCGCAGGTGCTTGGTAAATGTCAGCCGCCCTCCTCATCATCTGGTGGAGGGTAGCAGAGGGTCCCCTACTCTTGACACCTGCCAGACCTACTGTGGCCAGTTCCGGCCTGAAGGATGGGTCATGAGCAGATAGGGCTGGGAGTGGTGGAGCCACACACGGTATGGACATCAGGGATGAAAGGCCCAGGTTGCAATCTTGGTTCCCCCCACATCCTGAGGCAGTCGCTCGCCTGAGCCTTCCTGCCCGTCTGTAAGGTACAACACCAACGCTCGGAGCCATCTATTCCCACGGTCCAAGGTGACCAACTGTCCCAGTAGCTCTGGACTGAGGGGTTTCTTGGGATGTGGGACAGCCAGCACTAAAGCCAAACAGCATGGCCGGTCACCCGACACAGATCCTTTGGACTGCACGAAATAAAATACATAGATTTAAGGAAAGCAATTATGCTGAAGTAATCGAAACACTTTTTAAGTTTTCTGACTTGCTCTATGTGTGCTGCTTTATTATCACATCAAATCACACGATCTGGTGGTGGTCTCGGTAGCTACCACGATTTCCAAACAGTAGTATGTGTCAATGGGGTTTTGAAATATTTGCAGCTCCTGTAGTGTGATAAGCAAATACTAGTAACAAAGTCGTAGGTCCTGCCACTACTGCTTTGGGTTCTTGCCTACATCTCATTGCAGGAACTCTCGGTTTCAGTGAGAAGTGAGTGAAATGCACGAGTAATGCTTTCCCATCCAAGGCCACAGGTCCCCTGAAGTCTATCCACAGCTCCCTTGGGTCACCAGGGACTGCAGGCTCAGAGCCCCCAGTCCTGCCTGTTGGCATGGAGGTGGGGGTCAGGGGAACCGATAGGGGATTGATGCCTGACGTGGCAGGTGTGACACCGTCCCCCTCTCTCCCGCAGATGCCCCTGGGCAGTATGGAGCCTATTTCCACGATGACGGCTTCCTCGCCTTCCCTGGCCGCATCTTCTCCAGGAGGTGAGATTCATTGGGAGAGCCCGTGGGCCTAATGGGGAGGATGGGAATCTGGGACTTCTGTCCCCTCACCCACCCTTCCTCCACAGCCTGCCCGAGGTGCCCGAGACCATCGAGCTGGAGGTTCGGACCAGCACAGCTAATGGCCTCCTGCTCTGGCAGGGCGTGGTGAGTGTAGGCATCCAGCTGGGCTCTTGGGCTCCTAGGGCAGGAAGTCGGCTTCCTGGTGGCCAGGGTGGCGGGGAGAGGGGAAGGCAGAGCCTCTGCTCTCCAAGCTGAGGACCCCAGAGACCCTGTGCTTCCCTGGCAGGAGGCGGGAGAGACTGGCCGCGGCCATGACTTCATCAGCCTGGGGCTTCAAGATGGGCACCTAGTCTTCAGGTGGGTCCTAGCATCTGGCCCTTCCTCTCCCTTCCCTGGTCCCAGCACCCCACCCCCAGTCCTGCCCCAGCTCATACTTCTTGGGCCTGGATAACTGCAGGTACCAGCTGGGTAGTGGGGAGGCCCGCCTGGTCTCTGAGGACCCCATCAATGACGGCGAGTGGCACCGGGTGACCGCGCTGCGGTAAGGGAGTCTTCTGGGCACTCGAGATGGGGCCCAGCATTCTGGAGTGGGGCAGGATGCCCCCCACCATGGGTGGAGAGGCAGGCATTGAGCTCTGTGGAGTCAGAATTTAAACGCACCAATCAGGGCTCAGGCTTCCATCTCAGCCTGAACTCCACTGGGGGCAGGCAGTCGCCCCAGGAGCAGGAGGAAACCTGGGCACGGAAATGAAGAAGCTGTGCTTGTGGGGCCGGATCTCTCGTTCAGTGGGGGAAAGAAAGAGCTGGAGGAACAGGGACAGACTTCTGAGTCTGGAGTCTCAGTGCCAGAGGGAGGGGACTCAGTCGTGGGACCAGGGAAGACCGGGGAGTTTGTGGGAAAGGGCCTGACCCAGTTCCACTGCAGGGAGGGCCGCAGAGGCTCCATCCAGGTCGATGGTGAGGAGCTGGTCAGCGGCCAGTCCCCAGGCCCCAATGTGGCAGTCAACGCCAAGGGCAGCATCTACATCGGTAAGTCGGGGGCTCCTCCTCAGAGCAAGGGCAGGTATGGCACGCCCTGGGGCCGGAGCACACAGGCCCTGTCCTCCCACCTCCCGGCAGGCGGAGCTCCGGAAGTGACCGTGCTGACCCGGGGCAGGTTCTCCTCTGGCATCACAGGCTGTGTCAAGAACGTGGTGCTGCACTCGGCCCGACCCGGCGCCCCACCCCCACAGCCCCTGGACCTGCAGCACCGCGCCCAGGCCGGGGCCAACACACGCCCCTGCCCCTCGTAGGCACCGGCCTGCCCCACACGGACTCCTGGGCCGCGCCCCAGCCCGACAATGTCGAGTATATTATTATTAATATTATTATGAACTTTTGTAAGAAACTGAGGCGATGCCACGCTTTGCTGCTACCACCCTGGGCTGGACTGGAGGTAGGCACGCCACTTCACACACACACAGCTGGGCAAAGCCACAAGGCTGGCGGGCAAGGCAGGATGGATGGGAGTGGGTGCCTCAGAGAAACACCAGGACTTGGGGTCAGGCGTGGCAGCTGGGTGGACCCAGAGCTGCCCCCACCGCCCCCCATCCATCGATGGAACCCCCACAGTGGAGCCGGGTGGCCCATTTCTGCAGCCCCTGGGCAGTCCTCCCTCCTAGGAGAGCCAGCCTCAGCTTACAGCTGGGTGTCCCACAGCTGCCTGAGATGGGCATCGCAGGAGTCTCTGCCACCCACTCAGGATTGGGAATTGTCCTTAGTGACGGCTATGCAGCAAAAGGCAGCTCACCCCCGGGTGGGCGGTCCCCATCCCCACCAGCTTGTTTTTCAGCACCCCCACCCACCTCCACCCAGCCCCTGGCACCTCCCTCCGGCAGCCTCTCCCTCCCACCATGCCCTGCTGGCCTGCATTCCCACCCACTCCTGCCAGCACACAGCCTACGGTCCCTCCCTCAGTGGCTGTAAGGGAAAGCCCACCTCAACTCTTTCCTGGAGCTGCTACTGGAAGAGCCCAGCACTGAGAGGGCCCCGCCCACCAGGCCCCCCCACCCCGGGCCGCTTCCCCGCTCTTCTGGAAGAGAAGGCCCAGGGCCTCCTTGGAAGCTGCTGGTGCTTGAAGAGCTAGTGCCTTGGGTGGGGGAAGGCAGGACTCACGGCTGGGAGGGAGAGGGGATGTGACCACCCTGCCCTATCTGTGGGAGCCTGAAGACCCAGCTAGGGGGAGTGCCATCCTGCCAGTGGCCCCCAGACTGTGGGGTTGGGATGCCTGACCTCTGTGTCCTAGAAAGGACCCTCCTGTGGTCTTTGTCTTGATTTTTCTTAATAAACGGTGCTATCCCTGCCAGGGGGCTCCCGTGTCTTTGATGAGGGCCTCACTCAGTGGTGCCTGCTGGTGGGGCAGAGCAGGGCAGGTGAGATCTGGGGGTGCAGCAACATGCCTTTGGATCAGCGAGGCCCCCAGGCCCCTAACCCTGTGAGGTGGGAATCGTCCTATTTTCTGGAGGGGCAGCTGAGTCTCAGAGGGTTAGGGGGCCTGTCCAACATCGGACAGAGAGCCAGGTGGTTAGAACCCAAAGAGTCTGTCTAACCCCAGAGCCCAGTCTCATTCCTGTGTGCCCAAAGTCCCTGTAGGGATGGCCTCCCTGATCCTGGAAGGCTGGGCCGCTCAGCTGCAGCCTGCTGGGGAGACCTGGCCAGGACACGGGGAGCACATGGTAGAAGCTGTGCTGCAGCGGAGGCAGAGGCCACGGGCACCAGGTCGCCAGGCCAGCCGGCTGGGAGAGCAGCAGCACCAAAGGAGGCCCACGAGGAGGCCAGCAGAGGTCAGGAGCATCAAGGAGGCCAGCGCCACCCCTCGGAGCTGGGGGCCTGTGAGAGGAGAGAGTCTACTCAGGCCTCAGCCTGGGCCCACCGCCCCTGCCCCCATCACCTGGAGAGGGACAGGTGTGATTTTGATGGGAATAGTAGGAGCAGGGTATGACCTTCCAAAGGTACATCCTGTCTCGTGGGGTCCCTCCCTGCTGGGGAACTCCTCTCAGCTGCAATCCGGAGGGATCCTGCAGACCCGAGAGCTGGGAAGGAAGTCAGGGGTCTGGAGGTATGGGCATCCGTACTTCCTGTCTGGCTGGGCACCGGAGAGGGACCTGCATGGGAAATAACAGAACAAGCACACGGAGAACTGGCCTTGCTGGGTTCCTTGTGTGTTTCATTCAATCCTCACAAGACGTCCCTGAGTTTGTCACTCTGTGTTTCCATTTTACAGAAAGGTTAAGTCATTTGCCAGGGTCACTTAGCTGAGGTGACAGGAGGACGCGAACTCATAGAGTCCGGCTCCAGGGTGTAGGGTCTATGAATGGAGCTACTTCTCAAGGAAGAGGGTGCACAGGTACTGAGGCAGGGTCTCACTCTATTGCCCAGGTTGGAGTCCAGTGTGCGATCACCACTCACTGCAACCTCTGCCTCCCAGGCTCAAGCGATCCTTTCACCTCAGCCTCCCGAGTAGCTGGGACTACTGGCATGTGCGACCAAGCCTAGCTAATTTTTTTTATTTCTTGTAGAGACAAGGTCTCACTATGTTGCCCAAGTTGGTCTTGACTCCTGAGCTCAAGCCATCCACTTGCCTCAGCCTCCCAAAGTGCTGAGATTACAGGCATGAGCTGCCGTGCTCAGCCATGAACATTTTCTGTAAACTTTTGAATACACAGGGAAAGGGCCACACTCTGTGCCGGGCCCTTTCCCTATGTATTCCACTTAAAGTTTATGACAATTCTGAAGGGTGAGGTTTATCCCCATTTCACAGATAAGGAAACCGAGGCACAGAGGTTCATTCCTTCATTCATGTGACTAGTATTTCTGGGCATCTACTGTGCCCCAAGCATGGCTCTAGCAACTGGGGGATACAACCATGAGCACATGACAAATATGTCTTCGTGAAACTGGGAGTTTAGTGTGGGGAGAAACAAAACACGTGAGTAGAATTTATGTCCAAAGGACAGAGCGCAGTGGCTCATGCCTGTAATCCCAGCACTTTGGGAGGCCAAGGTGGGCAGGTCACCTGAGGTCAGAAGTTCAAGACCAGCCTAGCCAACATGGAGAAACCTGGTCTCTACTAAAAACAAAACAATTAGCCAGGCGTGGTGATTCGAGCATGTAATCCCAGCTACTTGGGAAGCCGAGGCAGGAGAATTGCTTGAACCCAGAAGGTGGAGGTTGCAGTGAGCCAAGATCACGCCACTGCACTCCAGACTAGGTGACAGAGCAAGACTCTATCTCAAAAAAAAAAAAAAAAGAATTTATGTCTAAAGGAGACAGGTGCTAGTGAGAAAAATTAAGCATGTTGGCAGGGAGCAGGGCTGCTGCTTTTCTCACTGTGGCAAAGCACATAACATTTACCATTTTAACATGTTTAGATGTACAGTGGCATTAAATACATTCTGGACTGGGCGCGGTGGCTCAAGCCTGTAATCCCAGCACTTTGGGAGGCCGAGGCGGGTGGATCACGAGGTCAAGAGATCGAGACCATCCTGGTCAACATGGTGAAACCCCGTCTCTACTAAAAATACAAAACATTAGCTGGGCATGGTGGCGCATGCCTGTAATCCCAGCTACTCAGGAGGCTGAGGCAGGAGAATTGCCTGAACCCAGGAGGCGGAGGTTGCGGTGAGCCGAGATCGTGCCATTGCACTCCAGCCTGGGTAACAAGAGCGAAACCCCGTCTCAAAAAAAAAAAAAAAAAAAAAAAATACATTCTGTTATGATTTGGATCTGTGTTCCCATCCAAATCTCAGGTCAAATTGTAATCCCCAGTGTTGGAGGTGGGGCCTGGTGGGAGGTGATTGGCTCATGGGGCGGATTTCTCATGAATAGTTTCGCTCCGTGCTCTTGGTGCTGTTGTGCTAGTGAGTTCCCGCAGGAGCTGGTTCTGTGCAAGTGTACAGCGCCTCCCCTCACTCTCCCTCTTGCACCTGCTCTGGCCACGCCTGCTCCCCTCGCCTTCTGCCAAGATGGTAAGTTTCCTGAGGCATCTCCATAAGCTGAGCAGATGCCAGCATCATGCCTCCTGTACAGCCTGCAGAACTGTGAGATAATTAAACCTCTTTTCTTTATAAATTACCCAGTCTTGGGTGTTTTGGGGTTTTTTATAGCAATGTGAGAGCAGACTAATGCATGTTCACATTGTGCAGCCATCACTGCCATCCAGCTCTAGAACTCTGCATCTTCCCAAACTCCGTCAACTCCGTTAATTAACTCCATATCCTCCTTGTCCCCCACCTCTCCAGCCCCTGGTGACCATGGCTCTACTTCCTGTCTCTGTGATTTTGACTATTCTAATATACATATTAAAATATAATCATATATTTACTTATTTTTAATATAATTATAATATAATAATATATTTACTTATTATTAATAATATAATAGGCCGGGCATGGTGGCTCACGCCTGTAATCCCAGCACTTTGGGAGGCCGAGGCGGGAAGATCACCTCAGGTTGGGAGTTCAAGACTAGTCTGAACAACAAGGAGAAATCCTGTCCCTATTAAAAATACAAAAAATTAGCTGGGCATGGTGGCGCATGCCTGTAATCCCAGCTACTTGGGAGGGGCTGAGACAGGAGAATTGATTGAACCTGGGAGGAGGAGGTTGTGGCAAGCCAAGATCATGCCATTGCATTCCAGCCTGGGCAACGAGAGCAAAATTCCGTCTCAAAAAATAATAACAACAATAATATAATAACTTTGCTGGGCACAGTGGCTCATGCCTGTAATCCCACCATTTCGGGAGGCTGAGGCAAGTGGATCATTTGAGGTCAGGAGTTTGAGACCAGCCTGGTCAACATGGTGAGACCTTGTCTCTACTAAAAATACAAAATTTAGCCAGTCATGGTAGTCGCCTGTAATCCCAGCTACTTGGGTGGCTGAAGCAGGAGAATCGCTTGAACTCAGGAGACGGAGGCTGCAGTGAGCCACGATCGAGCCACTGCACTTCAGCCTGGGCGACAGAGTGAAACTCTGTCTCAAAAATAATAACTTCTGATATAGATTCTAACAGATAATGGAACTGGCTATTCCATATAGAAGTGGAGTCATGCAGTACGTCCCTTTGGGACTGGCTTATTTCACTTACATCCTCAAGGTTCATCCATGTAGTAGAATGTGTCAGAATTTCCTTCCTTTTCAAAGCATTCCATTGTATGGTTAGACCACATTTAGTTTATCCACTTGTCTGTAGGCAGACACGGGGTTGCTTTTTTTTTTTTTGAGATGGAGTCTCCCTCTGTCGCCCAGGCTGGAGGGCAGTGGTGCAATCTTGCTGCACTCAGGTCTGCACTCAGGTTGCCCAATGCAACCTCTGCCTCCCGGGTTCCAGTGATTCTCCTGCCTCAGCCTCCCGAGTAGCTGGCACTACATGGGCGGGCCACCACGCCCGGCTAATTTTTTGTTGTTTGTTTGTTTGTTGTTTTTTGGTTTTTTTTTTAAAGATGGGGTTTCACCATGATGGCCAGGCTGGTCTTGAACTCCCGACCTCAGGTGATCCACTCACCTCGGCCTCCCAAAGTGCTAAGATTACAGGGGTGAACCACCTCGCCCGGCCTTTCTGTTTGTTTTTTTGTTTTGTTTTGTTTTGTTTTGAGGTGGAGTCTTGCTCCAAGAGGCTCGAAGGCCCTGCCCCTTTCCTGGCCCCGCCTCTTCTTTCCTGGCCCCGCCTCCTCCCTGGCCCCACCTCCCCTCCACACTCCAGCCTTGTTCTGGCCTTTGCACTCGCTGTATCCTCCATCCCAAAGACTTTTCTTCTGACATCTATCTGCAAGGCAAGCTCATTCCTTTGCCTCCTGGTGGGTCTCTACTTAAGTTCTTCCCTGACTCCTTTATATAAAAATAGCAACCCTGGCCAGGTATGGTGGCTCACGCCTGTAATCCCAGCACCTTGGGAAGCAGAAGTGGTTGGACCACCCTAACACCTTAGGTCAGTAGTTCGAGACCAGCCTGGGCAACATGGTGAGACGCCATCACTACTAAAAATACAAAAAACTGGGCCAGGTGCGTTGGCTTAAGCCTGTAATCCCAGCGCTTTGGGAGGCCAAGGTGGATGGATCACTTGAGGTCAGGAGCTGAAGGCCAGCTTGGCCAACATGCTGAAACCTCATCTCTACTGGTGATGCATACCTGTAATCCCAGCTACACCAGAGGCTGAGGCAGGAGAATTGCTTGAACCCAGGAGGCAGAGGTTGCAGTGAGACAGCACCACTGCACTCCAGCCTGGGCAACAGAGTAAGACTATCTGAAAAAAAGCAACTAACTAACTAACTAACTAAATAAATAAATAAACATAGGCCGGGTGCGGTGGCTCACGCCTGTAATACCAGCACTTTGGGAGGCCGAGGCGGGTGGATCGCGAGGTCAAGAGATCGAGACCATCCTGGTCAACATGGTGAAACCCCATCTCTACTAAAAATACAAAAAATTAGCTGGGCATGGTGGTGCGTGCCTGTAATCCCAGCTACTCAGGAGGCTGAGGCAGGAGAATTGCCTGAACCCAGGAGGCAGAGGTTGCGGTGAGCCGAGATCGCGCCATTGCACTCCAGCCTGGGTAACAAGAGTGAAACTCTGTCTCAAAACAACAACAACAAAAAAGATAACATGAGATGCTAAATAGGATCCTGGGACAGAAAAAGGACCTTAGAGCCGGGCGCGGTGGCTCAAGCCTGTAATCCCAGCACTTTGGGAGGCTGAGGCGGGTGGATCACGAGGTCAAGAGATGGAGACCGTCCTGGTCAACATGGTGAAACCCCGTCTCTACCAAAAATACAAAAATTAGCTGGGCATGGTGGCACGTGCCTGTAATCCCAGCTACTCAGGAGGCTGAGGCAGGAGAATTGCCTGAACCCAGGAGGCGGAGGTTGCGGTGAGCCGAGATCGCACCATTGCACTCCAGTCTGGGTAACGAGAGCGAAACTCAGTCTCAAAAAAAATAAAAATAAAAATAAAATAAATAAATAAAGTTCATGTAATCCCAGCACTTTGGGAGGCCAAGGCTGGAAGATCATTTGAGCCCAGGAGCTTGAGAGTAGCCTAGGCAAAATAGCAAGATCTCATCTCTACAAAAAACACAAAAATATAGCTGGACATGGTGGCGCACCTATAGTCCCAGCTACCCTGGAGGCTGAAGTGGGAGAATCACCTGAGCCCAAGAAGCAGGGCTGGCAGTGAGCCGAGATGGCACCACTGCACTCCAGCCTGGGTAACAGAATGAGACCCTATCTCAAAACAATAAATAAATAAATAAGTTCATTTTAAAAAAAGAAAAAGGCTGGGTGCGGTAGCTCACGCCTGTAATCTCAGAAATTTGGGAGGCCCAGGCAGGTGGATCACGAGGTCAGGAGTTCAAGACTAGCCTGGCCAAGATAGTAAAACCCTATCTCTACCCCGCAGGCATGCTGGTGGGTGCCTGTAATCCCAGCTACTCGGGAGGCTGAGGCAGGAGAATCACTGGAACCCGGGAGGCGGAAGTGGCAGTGAGCTGAGATCTCACCACTACACTCCAGCCTGGGCAACAGAACGAGACTGGATCTCAAAAAAAAAAAAAAAAAAAAGTATGCCTTGAAGGTGATACTCAGGGCCCTCAGAGAGACATCAGGCAGCCAGGGCTCCAGGCCCACCATCGAGTTGAGCGGAGGATCTCTCCTTTAAATATCTTGGGCCCCTGTGCCAGGTCCCAATTAGCAAAAGTTTCCACCACTAAAGCATCATTTGAAATCCCTGGATGAGATCCTCTGCCGCGTAGTTCTGCCTCTGACTGCTCTGCGCCTCCAGCCCTTGGCCTGGGCTGATTCCACACTTCCGCTTTCGCCTCTCCTGACTCCCCACTGAGGCCCTGCCCTAGGGAAGAGGAGTTAGGGCCAGGCTTCCCTCTAGCTGTTCGGTAGGGCCCAGGCCGCATGTGCACTGACCTCTGCAGTCGGCTGGTAGCCGGGAGCCCTGGTCACTGCCGTCGCCACAGTTGTCCATGCCCCAGGGGTCACACACGAGGCTTGAGGGGATGCACCTGCCATTCCGGCAGCGGAAGTAGGCAGCACAAGGTCCTGGGGCCAGAAGTGGAAGCCTGAGGTGAGGATTCTGGTCCTGCCCACGACACAGCAGGGTTATCGCCCCATGGTGACAGTGTGGGGTGTGGGCAGAGAGAGCTGTCTTCGTGCACGGACAGAGTGTTTTATGGGGGGAAGGGTGGAGGATGGCAGCTAACATACTGACTTCCTCTTCCGTGCCAGGCACAGCTCTAGACACTTCGCATCCTGGCGCATTGAGGCCTCGCAATACCCCTATGGGGCAAGTACTGTTATTAATTTTATTATTTTTAATTATTATTTTATTTTATTTTTTTGAGACGGAGTCTTGCCCTGTCGCCAGGCTGGAGTGCAGTGGTGTGATCTCGGCTCACTGTAACCTCCACCTCCCAGGTTCAAGCAATTCTAGTGCTTCAGCCTCCAGAGTAGCTGGGATTACAGGCACATGCCACTACGCCCAGCTAATTTTTGTATTTTTAGTAGAGAAGGGGCTTCACTATGTTGGCCAGGATGATCTTGATCTCTTGACCTCATGATCCACCCCACTCAACCTCCCAAAGTGCTGGGATTACAGGCATGAGTCACTGTGCCCAGCTATTATTACTGTTTTTATTTATTTATTTATTTTTTTTAAGAAGGGGTTTCACCATGATGGCCAGGCTGGTCTTGAATTCCTGACCTCAGGGAGTAATCCACAGACCTCGGCCTCCCAAAGTGTTAGGATTACAGGCGTGAGTCACCGCGCCCGGCCTTATTTTTTTTTTTTTTGAGACGGAGTTTTGCTCTTGTTACCCAGGCTGGAGTGCAATGGCACGATCTCGGCTCACCGCAGCCTCCGCCTCCTGGGTTCAGGCAATTCTCCTGCCTCAGCCTCCTGAGTAGCTGGGATTACAGGCACGAGCCACCATGCCCAGCTAATGTTTTGTATTCTTAGTAGAGACGGGGTTTCACCATGTTGACCAGGATGGTCTCGATCTCTTGACCTCGTGATCCACCCGCCTCGGCCTCCCAAAGTGCTGGGATTACAGGCTTGAGCCACCGTGCCCGGCTTATTTTTTAATTTTTTTTTTGTTTTAGGCAGGTCCCGCTCCGTCACCCAGGCTGGTCTTGAACTCCTGAGCTCAAGTGATCCTCATGCCTTGGCCGCCCAAAGTGCTGGGATTACAGGTGTAAACCAGGGTGGCACCTAGTCAGGCGAGGATTATTAGTTTCAGTTCCAAGAGGCCCCTTTCCTGGCTTGAGTGGGTTTCTGCTGCCTACAGTCCCCTAATCACACCCTTCTGCAAACATCTGAAGGGCTGACTCAGCACAGAGCAGCCAGGAAGCGTGTGAGTTGTAAGTGTGCAAGGTGGTACTATGTGCATGTGAGGTGTGTGATAACAGTGAGTGTGCAGTGTGAGATGGGTGCTGCAGTGTGTGAGAGGCATGAGTGTGGAGTGTGTGGGGGTGATGAGGTGCATGGGCTATGTGTATGTGATGTAGTATGGGTCAGAGTATGAGGTATGTCCGTATGTGGGAGTTGTATGTGAATGTGGGGGGGTTGTGTGAATTGGGGGGAGTTGTGTGTGAATTGGGGGGGTTGTGTGAATTGGGAGAGTTGTGTGTGAATTTGAGGGGGGATGTGTGAATTAGGGGTTGTGTGCGAATGTGTGTGTGTGTGTGTGTGTGTGTGCGCGCGCGCATCAGGGCTGGTAGGGTAGTCTGGTGCACACATCCATGGTAGCCAGATTTATATGGTTGGCTCTTAGGGTCTGAGAGGTCCCTTATTGTGACTCGGCCACTAGCCACCACCTTCTTCCTTCCCTTTGGACTCAGTCCTTGCCATCTTGTGCTCCGGGCGCCCCCACCATTCCCCTGCCGGCAGCAGCCCTCACCGGGGTCCCCACTGTGGCCCCAGTCCCACATAGCCTCTGCATGGGGCCCCGTCCCGCCTTAACCCCCAGCTCACCCAGATGGAAAGAGGTGACTTCGCCCACGAAGTCCACGCGGGGCTGGCTGCCTCTCGTGACCAGGCGCAGGCCTAGGAAGGGGCCGGAGGATTCCAAGGGGACCGGGATGGTCAGGCCGCAGACGGGGGACCCCAGGGGCCGGGGCGCCCCCGGCGGACCCTCGTAGAACTGCAGGTAGGAGCCGGGGGCGCATGGGTCGGCAGGCGCCGGGGAGGAGGCGCCGAGCGCAGGGGGCGCCGAGGTCAGGCTGTAGACCAGGAAGAAGCGGAACTGGAAGCGGATCCGGTCGCCGGGGGTCGCCGCCCGCACCCAGAGCCCGCAGTCGGTGTCCGGGGCCACGAAGTAGAAGCTGCGCGACGCGGCGTGCGAGCGCAGCAGCAGCCCGTCCCCCTGCCACGTCTGCCCGCACAGGTCCGCCAGGTCGGCTGCGGCGGAAGGCAAGGACCCTGGAGCCGCGCGGCGCGACCCCAGACTCGACTCTGCCCCCTGCCCGCCGTGTGATCCCAAGCGAGTGACGGGCCCTCTCTGAGCCTCAGTTTCCTCATCCGTAAATGGGGATGATTAAGCAATCTCAGAATTAGTGTGAAGATTACCTGATTAATTTAATTTAATTTAATACAATCCCTTACCCCAAACCCTAAGATGTGGGCCGACCCCAGTGGCTCAAGCCTGTAATACCAGCACTTTGGGAGGCCGAGGGGGTGGATCACCTGAAGTCAGGAGTTCACCAACATGGTGAAACCCCGTCTCTACTAAAACTACAAAAATTAGCCAGGCATGGTGGCACACACCTGTAACCCCAGCTACTCGAGAGGTGGAGGCAGGAGAGCCAAGATGGCGCCACTGCACTCCAGCCTAGGTAACACAGTGAGACTCTGTAACACACACACACACACACACACACACACACACACACACACACACACGGGGGTGGGGGGGGAGAGAGAGAGAGAGAGAGAGAGAGAGAGAGAGAGAGAGCGCTGCGTAGTAAAGAGCCCCTTTTCTTCCTGCTTTTTGAAAGCTGCTGACTGAGGATGAGGATGTGATGTCCAGAGCTGCAGCAGCCATTTGCAAAGATGAGGTCAGAGCATTCCAGAGGAACAGTGACATTGTTGAGCCACCGAGTTAACCATCTCTGGAATCACCTATGACCACTCTTAAGTGAAATAGTAAATATCCTACCATTTAAAGCCCCATTTAATTTGTTATCCGTTACTTACAGCCCAAAATATCCTCAATGGTACAGGGTTATTGTGAGGATTAAATGAGATAGCATGTAAGTACTCAAAGTAGCCCAGATTTCTGTAAGGACAGACAGAAAAGAGGAGGTGGGTTTTCTGGTGCAAGGTAGGGACCAGTGGGAGCTTGAGGACCAGTCAGGATGTGGGTCTTTCATCAGAGCTCAGGATGTGGGAGCACTTTTCAATATTTGGTATTTCTCTGTTAAACCCAGAGCATACCCTGAAGGAACACAAGGCAGGCATGTGTTTAGAGAGTAAAGGAATTGGGCACCTTTTATGTGCCAGGCATTACGAACTGTCTTGCATGGCTGATCTCTTTTTTTCTGAGACGAAGTCTCGCTCCATCACCCAGGCTGGAGTGGTGCAGTGGCGCCATCTTGGCTCACTGCAACCTCCACCTCCCAGGTTCAAGCGATTCTCCTGCCTCAGCCTCCCGGGTAGCTGGAACTACAGGCACCCACCACCACGCTCGGCTAATTTTTTGTATTTTTAGTAGATTCGGGGGTTTCTCTGTGTTAGCCAGGATAGTCTCGATCTCCTGACCTCATGATCCTCCTGCCTCGGCCCCCCAAAGTGCTGGGATTACAGGCCTGAGCCACCACGCCCCACCGGCTTATCTCATCTTATATGTACAATAATCATAGTGCCTTAAGGGGCAAGGGCCTATTATTTTCATTTTACTGCCAAAGAAATTCAGACAGAGAGCTGAAACAATGATTGCAAAGGTGCAAACACAGGAAGTGGCAGAGTGTATATAAATGCGGCTTCTCCGAATACAAAGCCTGTTGAATTTTGCATAGCAGGCTCTGAGGGCTGTCCTGCCCATCCCCGGAATCCTGCTTCTGGGTGACTGGGAGGTCCAGCCTTCCAGAAGCCTTTGGGTTGGACTTGGGGATGCCAAGCAAGACATCCCAGCCTCCCCCAACCCAAAAGGTCTCAGCCCATCAGGATGAGTGCTGACTGAGGAAGCGTAGTCTCTAAGGGTGTTGGGGGCCCAAGTCTTCCGGGTGCCCCAACCAAGCCCCCTCATCCTTACCTGTCTCCAAAGTAGCTGCAGTCAGGACGGCTGCCCCCAGCAGGAGCAACCTTTGGGGGAACTGCAGAAGACAAGCCTCCATCCAGGTGCTGCTGTGCCCAGCAATGGGGCAGACCCACAGAATCTTCGGCTTGGGGTCTTTGGGGAGACTGGGGTGTGGGGGCCTGATCAGGCCAGCAAGGAGGCTGGTGGGACACAAGGAGAAGGTGGAGGCAAGTCCTCCAGCCCCCTGGTCTCTGCGTGCTTCCTCTTCCAGATCCTCCCCCTTTGGTTCAGAACTGTGTCCAGGGGTTGCCATGGAGATTTGGGGCCAGGACTACAGCCTGGGGAGAGGAGGCAGGGAAGAGATCTGCTCCCCTCCTGCCAGACAGAAACCAGGAAACTCAGATCCGGTTCAGCCACAGGGCTTCTGGGAGGGGGACCCGCAGGAAGCCAGATGTACTGCCTTCCTACGTCAGTTGGCACTTTAGGGACTGAGCTTGAGCGAGATCCAAGACACCAAAGGAGCATCTCTGAGGACCTAGAGAGCAGCAGGTGGTAAAGGAGCGCTGGATCCGGAGTCTGCTCTTTACTAACAAGGCATACCTCCCTCAAGGGCCTTTGCACTCATGGGTCCCCCTCCTGGAGTGCCTCCCCTCATCGCAGTGCATGGCCAGCTGCCTCAGGTCATCAGGTTGTAGCTCACACGTCACCTCCACAGACCACGCTGTCCTGACCGCCTCTCCATCTAAATTAACACTCTCTCCTTGTCACTCAGTCAGATCGCAGATGTGCCTTCCCAGCACTCTCTGGAATTATTTTGCTTATTCATCTCTTGTTGTATGTATTGTCCACTGGCCTCCACTAAAATTAGGTTCCATGAGTATCTTGTTTACCTCTGAACCCCTATGTCATAGCACAGTGCCTGGCACAAAGCAGGCACCCAGGAAATAATGAAAGAATAGGGCCAGGCACAGCGGCTCACACCTGTAATCCTAGCACTTTGGGAGGCTGAGGCGAATGGATCACCTGAGATCCAGAATTCTAGACCAGCCTGACCAACATGGAGAAACCCTGTCTCTAGTAAAAATACAAAAAAATTAGCCAGGCATGGTGGCCTATGCCTGTAATCCCAGCTACTCAGGAGGCTGAGGCAGGGAAATTGCTTGAATCCAGGAGGTAGACGTTGTGGTGAGCTGAGATGGCACCATCGTTTCGCACTACAGCCTGGGCAACAAGAGCGAAACTCTGTCTCAAAAAAAAAAAAAAAAAAAAAAAAGAAGGAATAAGTGTGTGGCATTAAGCAAATTATCTCTTTTTCTGGATTTTACTTCCCCATGTGTAAAATAAATACCCTGCTCTAATTCAAGCTTTTTCAAAACTTGTTATTAGTAGCCGGGCGCTGTGGCTCAAGCCTGTAATCCCAGCACTTTGGGAGGCCGAGGCGGGTGGATCACGAGGTCAAGAGATCGAGACCATCCTGGTCAACATGGTGAAATCCCGTCTCTACTAAAAATACAAAAATTAGCTGGGCATGGTGGTGCGTGCCTGTAGTCCCAGCTACTCAGGAGGCTGAGGCAGGAGAATTGCTTGAACCCAGGAGACGGAGGTTGCGGTGAGCCGAGATCACGCCATTGCACTCCAGCCTGGGTAACAAGAGTGAAACTCCGTCTCAAAAAAACAAACAAACAAAAAAAAACTTGTTATTAGTAGAACAATTTTTTTCAAAAGATATCTTACAGGCCAGTGCAGTGGCTCACGCCTGTAATCCTAAAACTTTGGGAGGCCGAGCTGGGTGGATCACCTGAAGTCAAGAGTTCAAGACCAGCCTGGCTATCATGAAGAAACCCCATCTTTAAAAAAAAAAAAAAAAAAAAAAAAAAACAAAGGTATCTTACAAGGAACCTTAATCTGTAAAACTGAAGCTTAAACCATAAAAGTGAATCTATAAAACTGAAGCCTCGGTGTCCTTCTCTGGAAAATGGGATAAGGATAGTTCCAACCACATAGTTACACTGTAAGAATTAAGTAACTTAATACAAGTGGGAACTTGGGATAGTGTCTGTCATGTAGTAAAGTATCCAATGCATGTCAGCTTGCACGATGATCATTAATGTCATCATTATTATTTCAACAGAGGTTTTAAGTGTCGGGGAGGGGAGAAGCTAAGCACCCTGAAGTGTCAGTGCCTGAGACGCCACCTCAAAATCCCAGGACTCCATGAAAAGGTTAAAACCTGGCTGGGCCCGGTGACTCACGCTTATAATCCCATCACTTTGGGAGGCTGAGGCAGGTGGATCACCTGAGGTTGGGAATTCAAGACCAGCCTGGCCAACACTGTGAGACCCTGTCTCTACTGAAAATACAAATATTAGCTGAGTGTGGTGGCATGTGCCAGTAATCCCAGCTACTCGGGAGGCACAAGAATCATTTGAGCCTGGGAGCTGAAGGTTGCAGTGAGCCGAGATTGCACCACTGCACTCCAACCTGGGCAACAAAGTGAAAAAAACAAAAACAAAAACAAAACACCTCTGGACCTATTATCCCTAATGGCTCTCCCTCCCAGAGCGGTCATTCACCGCAACCTTGCAACCTGGATTTCCTACAGTGTATCACGTCCAAATCTGTGCCCTGGGGATTCCAAGAAGACTCAAATCTTCCCTCGGTAAGAATGAATTTATCATGAAGCCCACTGAAGCTTAAACTTCAGAACTCATCACTTGCATGAGATTATATGTTTTTATAAAATTTGCAAAACTAAGAATGGGTGTAAACTTTCAGTTTTGCAAGATGAAAAAGTCTGAGAGATCTGTTGCACAGTAACGTAAAAATACCTAACACTCCTGAATGTACGCTCCGAATGGCCAAGGCAGGCCAGGTGCAGGTCTCACACTTTTAATCTCAATGCTTTGGGAGCCTGAGGTGAGAGGATCACTTAAAGCCAGGAGCTCGGGTCGGGCGCGGTGGCTCAAGCCTGTAATCCCAGTACTTTGGGAGGCCAAGGCGGGTGGATCACAAGGTCAAGAGATCGAGACCATCCTGGTCAACATGGTGAAACCCCGTCTCTACTAAAAATACAAAAAATTAGCTGGACATGGTGGCGCGTGCCTGTAATCCCAGCTACTCAGGAGGCTGAGGCAGGAGAATTGCCTGAACCCAGGAGGCGGAGGTTGCGGTGAGCCGAGATCGCGCCATTGCACTCCAGCCTGGGTAACAAGAGCGAAACTCCGTCTCAAAAAAAAAAAAAAGCCAGGAGCTCAAGAACTACCTGAGCATGTAATCTCAGCACTTTGGGAGGCCGAGGCAGGCAGGTCACCTGAGGTCAGGAGACTGGCCAACATGGTGAAACCCAGTCTCTTCTAAAAATGCGAAAATTAGCAAGGCGTGGTGGCACATGCCTGTAATCCCAGCAATTCGGGAGGCTGAGGCAGGAGAATCTCCTGAACCCAGGAGGCAGAGGTTGCAGTGAGCCCAGATCACGCAACTGCACTCCAGCCTGGGCAACAGAGAGAGACTCCTTCTCAAAAAAAAAAAAAAAAAAAGACCAAGCTGGACAGGCAACATACCAAAACCCCTTTCTCTACAAAAAATTAAAGTTAAAATTTAAAAATTAGGTGGTGCTGGCTGGGTGGTATTATAGAAAATGATAAGCAGTTAATAAAAATTTGTTAGGCCAGGCGTGGTGGCTCACACTTGTAATCCAAGCACTTTGGAGGCCAAGACGGGCGGATCACCTGAGGTTGGGAGTTCAAGACCAGCCTGGGCCGGGCACGGTGGCTCAAGTTTGTAATCCCAGCACTTTGGGAGGCCGAGGCGGGTGGATCACGAGGTCGAGAGATCGAGACCATCCTGGTCAACATGGTGAAACCCCGTCTCTACTAAAAATACAAAAAATTAGCTGGGCATGGTGGCACGTGCCTGTAATCCCAGCTACTCAGGAGGCTGAGGCAGGAGAACTGCCTGAACCCAGGAGGCGGAGGTTGCGGTGAGCCGAGATCCCGCCATTGCACTCCAGCCTGGGTAAAAAGAGCGAAACTCCCTCTCAAAAAAAAAAAAAAAAAAAAAAGGCCGGGCGCGGTGGCTCAAGCCTGTAATCCCAGCACTTTGGGAGGCCGAGGCGGGTGGATCACAAGGTTGAGAGATCGAGACCATCCTGGTCAACATGGTGAAACCCCGTCTCTACTAAGAATACAAAACATTAGCTGGGCATGGCGGTGCGTGCCTGTAATCCCAGCTACTCAGGAGGCTGAGGCAGGAGAATTGCCTGACCCCAGGAGGCGGAGGTTGCGGTGAGCCGAGATCGCGCCATTGCACTCCAGCCTGGGTAACAAGGGCGAAACTCCGTCTCAAAAAAAAAAAAAAAAAAAAAAAAGACCAGCCTGACTAACATAGTGAAACCCCGTCTAAAAAAAAATAAAAAATAAAAAATAAAAAATAAAAATTTGTTATTATTTTGGATTTCATATTATTTGTCTTATTTGTCAGTTTTTTACACTCCAAAACTTGTTGGGAAATTTTTTTCTCATTCTAAATAAATATTTACTTTCAAACCTGATTCTTTTTTTTTTTTTTTTTTTTTGAGACAGAGTCTTGCTCTGTTGCCCAGGCTGGAGTGTAGTGGTGTGATCTCGGCTCACTGCAACCTTCGCCTTCCAGGTTCAAGCAATTATCCTGTCTCAGCCTCCAAAGTAGCTGGGACTACGGGTGCACATCACCACACCCAGCTACTTTTTTTATTTTTTGTAGAGATGGGGTTTCACCATATTAGTCAGGCTGGTCTTGAACTCCTGATCTCAGGTGATCCACCTGCCTCCTGCCTCAGCCTCCCAAAGTGCTGGGATTACAGGTGTGAGTCACTGCACCCAACCTCAAACCCGATTTTGTGTTAATAATTTCATATTTTAAAGAGGGGTCTCAAATTGTTTTTTCGTCAGGACCCACAAAGCGTGGCCCTTCAAGAGTTCACAGCCGGCCGGGCGCGGTGGCTCAAGCCTGTAATCCCAGCACTTTGGGAGGCCGAGGCGGGTGGATCACGAGGTCGAAAGATCGAGACCATCCTGGTCAACATGGTGAAACCCCGTCTCTACTAAAAATACAATAAAACTAGCTGGGCATGGTGGCGCGTGCCTGTAATCCCGGATACTTAGGAGGCTGAGGCAGGAGAATTGCCTGAGACCAGGAGGCGGAGGTTGCGGTGAGCCGAGATCGTGCCATTGCACTCCAGCCTGGGTAACAAGAGCGAAACTCCGTCTCAAAAAAAAAAAAAAAAAAAAAAAAAAAAAAAAAAAAAG